CAAAATTCGCATGTGGAGATGGAAAAATTATAATTTTTGTAGACTTTATATAAGCATTTTGGAATACAAAAAAATATAAATTACTATACTAATACCCCAAACATCCATTGTAATTTATCAGGCTTCTTAGCTAAATTACTTGGGTTTAATAAAATATAATTTCTATTCACAAAATAGCCTTGATCATAATATTTCAAACTTTCTAATGATATAAGAGCTTTTCTCTCGTAGATAATTTGGGAAGAGTGATAGAATTATGTAAAAGAAAAGTATAGCTTTTGATTGGTTATAAAGTTATTGGTATATAAAAGTAGGCATAGATAAACAAGTATTATCAATTGATAAAGTGGTGGGAGGAGTCAATATGGTGTATTCACTAAATATCATATCTCAAGAAATGGAAAAGGTTGGAGATTCTTATTTGATATTCTAGCTTGCAAATATCGGAAATTTGAGTTTCTAATTTGTACGAAACTATGGATGTGGTATTGTGGGCATCATATAATGTAATCTGACCAAACTCAGAAGGCCTCGTACCATGTGACACACGAAAACCGATACTTAGCCTTATTTTTTATATTTACTTTCAAATAAAGAAACTAACTAATGCATAATACTGAACTTTGAATTATAATCTACAATGTGATGCTAAACTTATTGACAGACACCTATAAAATAAAAGTTAAATAAAGTGTTGAATGTAAGTCTACAAATGTGATGACATGCACTCTGACTCCTACCTGTCTCGACAGGGTTAAACAATGTTAAATGATTTTTAAATACTTTGTTATTGGAATTATTGTTTTTAATCTATTTATGTTATAAATAATATGATCAAATGAAGAATTATAAACATGGATGAATGAACAGTATATACATGTAAAGTAAAAACTATTGTATGGCCATAAAAGTTATAACTTGTTAACCTATCTAAAATGTAGAAAGTGTATGTCAATGGAAGAGGGAGGAGCTTGATGTTACTGGTAGTATCAACTCTTATAATATCACATTTCATTGTTAATAAACACATTTTCTCATCCGGGATCAGTCAAATTAACACTGACTTCATAACCACTTTGTACTCGTTATAGTTTCCATACTATAACTTTTAATACAGTATGTGTATATTCACAAAATTTGGGAGACTTTTAGTAAACATTTAATCTTAATTTAAAATTCTTCCATTTGTTCCAAAAAATCTCAAATTTTATATGTGTAGCCTTCAAAACCTCCTTAACCTGATGACTTCTGGCCACTAATTTTCTTAGTAGCCAAAGCAAGTCTTGCTATATCTCATTCCAACAATAAAGTTAGTGGATGAAATTGTTTGAAACTTCATAAGAACTT